AACTTTAAAAATTTTGTAACATTCAAAAGAAGAAAAAAAGAAACCCTGTGCAGCTATTAAAATTTATATTTCTCAGACTTCTTTGGAGAAGAAAATAAATGGAGGAAAGATATAATAAAATTTTTTTGGTCCCAGTTCTGTTTTCCCCATTCTTTGCATCAATACAACCTCCTTGGCCTCTAGTACCCTCCAGCCTAGTGTTAGCAAGATGGGCACTGGGGTTTCTGACAGCCTGGAATATTTCCTTTATATGCACTACAGTTTTCATTATGGGAACTGATAAAATCTCGCCACTACCAGAAGCCCCCCACTGGATTCTACTTCCTTTATCAACTTTGTTGTGCTCCAGATTCCCCATTCAGTGTTCCTTTCCCCCACCCTGCCCCTGCCAAGGGGACAGTCACAACAGGACCGTGCATATCTATCTTAGGATACTCAGTTCTGTCTCAGTAGGGCTGCTTCAATTCAGCTCACTGGACCAACGGGTTAGGGTTTCTCATCTACACGTACGAAAAAAGGCCTCCAACTTCATCTACGACACAGGTGAACAACCCCACGGGCTCGCAGTGCCGTCACCTCGTATGATTGTGTCTGTGTGCAAACGCGCATACTTTTCGTACAGCAATCTGAAACTGTCAGGCAGAAAAGACACAGGAGCCTGGCTGAGACCCATACAACTGTTATATTGGCGTCAGTCTAAAGAAAGCAATGATACATTGCTTTGGAAATTATCAAGAAATGTAAAAAATGCATTTGCCCTTTTTTTGTTGTTGTTGTCATTGTTGTCGTAGTCATCAGGGGCAGGGTTCTGAGTCCGAAAACAAAGCAGAAATAGATGCGATTCTGTACATGGCGCCTCTCTGGCTGTCCCTCCGTGCTGGGGTGTGGCGGGCAGGGTAGTAAAACAGGCGGGACCCCTGCAGTAGCAGCAGCATCTACACCATCATCGTTCACATGTCCAGCTGAAGAGGCAGATGATGCAGAAGTCGTCTGTGGATAGCAAAACTCCAGCTCTGGATCATGAGTTCCACTTTCTTCCCCGTCACATCAGCCACACAGAAATAAGGAAGAAAAAAAGAAATGCACCCGGTGTGGCTGGCCCAGTACTGCCTGGAATAATGAGCAGGAGTGATACAGGGAGGAGGTTTGTTGTTTTGTAAGAAACGTCTTTAGTCTGCAGTGTACTCTTGCAAGTCAGAGATGCTCAGTGGCAAACAGCAGATTGTTTTCCCCATTCTTTCCGTTCCTTCCATGCCACTCCTCAGCCATCAGTTCCTTCAAAGCTTCCATCCACAGCACAGTGATCGTACCCACCATCCACTCCCATACACAGGGAAAGAAGGACACTCCAGGAACTAAACCGGCCCCCGCCTTTCCACCGTTCCCCAGACTCTACCTCACCTGAAGGAGGCAGTAGCTCTTTGCTCAGGCCTGTCACAATGTGACGCACTTTACACATTGGAAGTACCTCAAATGAAAAAAAAAAAAAAAGCGCCACCCTCCCCAGAAAGAGAAATTTGCACAGCTGGCACCAGCAATTACTAAATTTAACACCTGCTCTGCAAACCACTGCAGTCATCTGCATTCTCTGCCAGCCACACCTAAGGGGTCTTACAGCAGAGAGTGAGGTTTCCCTGGCATTCCCTGGGAATACGAGTGGAGCATAACCCTTTCCACCATTTTCCTTCCCGTCAAGAAAAATCCTAAAAGATGACATGCGCTGTCAAGTATCCAAAAGGCCCATTGCCACCACCAATTTAGCTCACTACTTTGTTTCTCAGGAGCAGAGAACACCTCTCCCACTGGGAGGGTTAGATGGACTTTCTAGCGGGCGAAAATGAGAGAGGGAGCCCTTACACTGCTTTCATTTTTAGGCATGGCCAGGCACAGCATGATTTCCCTTCAAATAGGTTCGGAGCACTTCAGCGGTAGCCACAGCAAACTCTCAAAGGGAGACACACTTGCGTGCCCATCTCGATACTGGCACGAAGGATGGAAAGGATGAGACTCACTAACATCAGCTAGTTACTTTTCCAGGGAAGTCTTGAATTAGGACTTTGATGCCAGATGGTTGTATAAAGGGAGTCATATTTCTCTGTTTTAAAAGGATTTATTTTTTTCAAGGTATCTTGAGCTGCTACTGGCTGGTTCAAAATGCCACTGAAAGAAGTGCACTGTGAAAAATACCCTTTGCTGTTTCTGCTTTATGCCCCAGAGAATCAAGAAGAAAAACAAGGGTATTACAAAAATAATGTAATCAACATATGCAATAAATGATGTTCTCAGACATCTGCAGAAGCTCAAGATTTGAATGAACGTTTAGCTCTGAGTCAGATCACACCTCCTAGCTCAGCAGTGATCTGCAAGTTTGTGAACCATCTTGAGAAGCGAGAAAAAACAGCAGTAGTCTTGACAAAAATCAGTTGCATAAAATCTAACAATACCTGCCTGGTTTCTTGGCCTCTCTCACAGGTTAGGGTCACGTATCGGTGTGAGGAAAGTCAAGAGAGGTTCACACTCTCCAGTAGGGAAATATGTCTGGGACATGCTGTGCTGTCAGATGTTTTGTGACTTAGAATGTGACCCATCCACTAAAGTCTGGGAAGAGGGATGAGACTGTGCAGAGGAGCACAAAAAAGTCATTTAACATCTACATCTTGACCAGACTGCAGCAGTGCTGCTACGCAACGATCCAGAGCTCTCTCCTTCACTTACCCTCTGCTTTCAGTCCAGACCAGACTTAGATAATTTTACTGTGCTAACTATTTTGCTTCTTGCATTTGCATATCCCAGGATCCTGTTATAATCAATCAGGGTCAACTATTTAATAAAAGAAATGTGAAAGCAGATTTTTATTTCCCCGCTCCTTGAATTGCTGGTGCCAGCTGGATATGTAGGATGCATCTGCCAAATGGGCTTGGGGGTCTTGCCACCCTTGAGAGGGATGAGACCTTTAGAGAAACTGAGCAAAAGGAAAGAGAGCCTGAATAAAATGTCCCGGTCTCAGGGAGAAAGATTATCTACCCAATAAAGTCATCGTGCATGTTTAAAGGGAGTGAGGAAGAAGGAAAATGAACACAAGATATGCAAAATCAGTAACGTTCAACCTGTCAGTGGATTGCAGAATAGTTAGTTACACCAGGTACACTTTGTTCATTGTACAAATTAAAAAAGGGAAAAAAATAGTACCCCTTTCCCCAACCACACGTAGAAAAGCACTTAAAGTTCAAAGGTAAAGCTTGGCACATTCCAAATACGAAATGATTCACTTGACATGCAGCAAAATATACAAGAAGTGATTCTTTTTTTTCTTTTTTTTTTTAAACAAACTTAATTCAATTCCTTATCTTTGCTTGGCACAATTGCAATTCATTTTTAAAAAAATATTTGAAAAATACTGAAACTGACCTGAATTCAAGTATAACAGTTTCTTCAACAGAAACATTATCAATGCAATAAAACACACGGAATATATCGAAGCGTAACGCCTTCTGGTTTTTTGTTTCCCCCCACCCCTGCAATTTTTTTTCTATACAGTTTTAATGCCAACACGACTTACAATTGTATTTTAAAATTAATATTATTGCATTGTTTTTGCATATCTTGTGGAACAGAAAATGCAAAGAGTTACTGATTCCCCTTTCAAAAGCAGAGACAGTGGTTTGTTGTTGCATTCAAATGGCCCCGGATACAGATCTCCTGCAGCTCAAACCAGGATGTGGAGAACTGCATGCACTTACACACACGCACGCGCGCGCGCACGCACACTCGCTCCGTGTTACTCCCACACTCACAGATACAAATAGCACTAAAAAGAACCCAAATCAATCACTCAAATGTGCAAGACTATATCAAGTGCATTGCCTACTATCTTTAAATTATAAAACAACAACAAAAAAAGGAGGTTTCCATTACTAGCAAATAAAATGGCAAATTCTTGGTGTACATAATGGTTGGTAAAACTTGTCTATCATTATATTTCTACCAAATTTCAATGGAGAAAAAAACCCCCAGTTTAAATAATACAACATGATCAAACCAATTTAACATTTGCAAAGGTGAAAATAAACAAAACCAAAAAGGCAGGTGATTACAAAACGTTGTAAACACTCCCTTCTCCCTCCAAAAAAGAAATAATAAAATAGTCAAAATAAAAACTGCAACATGCTTTCAAGAAAATACCAAACCGCAAAACAAGGAGAGATCTACACAAGCCCACCACCACCTCAGCAAGTGCGGGGCAGGTCGGCTCAGCCCCGCCGCAGAGCCCGCTCCCTGCTCTCCCACTGGCTGGCACGGCTGGCTGTCTGAGCTCTGGTTGGTCGGCAGGAGACTGCCTGAGCTCGGATTGGCTGGCAAGTGACTGCTCGAGCTCTGATTGGTTGGCAGGAGGGGCTGCCTGAGCTCGGATTGGTTGGCAGAGAGAAACCGCTGCCTGGGAGTCTCGGCAGGGTTGGGCAGTGTTGCCACCTGCCCCTCGGGCGCCCTCGGGCTTCTTCTGCTTCCTCCTCCCCTTCGCGGTACGGGAATCCACAGCAGAAGAAGTCCTCCTTTCCTTCCGAATCAAAGGGCCTTGGCTTTATGGAGACGGTGAGGCTCATACAGAATATGTGCAAAATGATTTTTACAAGCAAAGTTGAAAGACACCCGTTTGACGCAGGGTCCTTTTGGCTAGGGCCATCCACAGGAAGCTGAGGTTCCCTTCGCGCTCGGGAGGCAGTCGTCGTTCCTTGTGCAGGGACTGAAAAAAAGAGGGAGCTGGCTCTCCTCCTCTTCTTCCTCCTCCTCCTCACTCTTCCTTCATGGACACGTGCTGGGATTATATCCGCTCCTGAAAAGCTTTCTTACACCACCCAACTCTGCGACTCGTCCCAACAGAAATGAATGAAGAACGCTGTTCCGGTTACTCCAGGTCACGAGAACAGTGAGGCACTTCTGAAACAAACCCATTAGGAACATTGAAACAAATAAAAAACCAGCATCGCTTCCAGCCCTGGCAACTACAGGCTGCTGATATAAATCCTGCTGTCCTTGAGCTCCTCCTGACTTTTTCTACAATCCGGGTTCTGCACCTCTTCCTCTTCCTCTCCTGCACTGTCCTGCCCTGGGTCCCTGCAGTTAACAAAAGGCAAGAGGTTGCCATTGGGGCTCTGCTTGCTGTTACCATTGAGAATGTTGTCTGCTGCATTTTCCATCTCTTCTATCGTCATGTCACAGGCATCTGCGAGCTCCTGGGTTGTGACCTCAATGAACTTTGGATCTTGAGCAAACTGCATCAGTCCTTCCGAGATCAAGACCTTCAAAAGCAGGTAAGGAATCAAAGACATATGTTAGTACTCTGCATCATCAACCCTATCGCACCCCACCACAGCCCTCTTTGCCGCTATATTTTCCCCAACGGTCCTTCTCCCATTCATGCTGCTTGGAGATGGGCTCTCCTACTCTGGGCATTGTGGGCAGTGATATATCTGTTGCCCTGCTCTCCAAGGGCCTCATTTCTAGTTGGCCTTGACACTACTCATGTCCTTTGTGACTCTGCAGTCTTACCGCTTCGACCAGGCTGCCAGCGCTGCCGTGAAACTGCCTGCTGCTCCCTCCGGTCTGGCTGGGGACGGTGAGGGAGACCGGCCTGGCTCTCCTCGGGCTGCTGCAGCCGCTGTTGTCAGTGTACCGAGAGCCGCAGTGTACTGACGGGAAGCTGCTGTTGAGCTTCTCACTGGACTCTGCCCCGTCGAGGCGCAGAGTCGGGATGGTCTGTTGCGGCCAGCCACGGCTGCAGGGTGTAGCGGGGGGCGTAGCACACAGCCGAGAGAACATGGTGGGGGAATGGCTTCGCTGGAGCAGGGGACTCAGGCCGGCCACCGCTAACGCCTGCGGACAGAGGAGGCACAAGACGAGTGAGAGACTGCTCTTAGCAGCCGGGCTGGAAGGAGGAGGTGCTGGAGAAACTACCCGAGAAAGGCCTGGAGAGTCTCAAGGTTTGTGAAAACAGCTGCCAGCTGCTGGAACGGTTTGGATGTTTCCTGCGAATTAATTTTGCAAGCTTTCCTTTCAATGGTATATCCTGCACCACTCCCAGGCACCAGGCTGAAAACTCCCATGACTGCAGTTCTTCAGCCTTGGAGCCATTGCACTGACAGGAGGGATGCAGCCCCAATCCCCACAGCCTTGCCAGAAACACCACCTCTTCTCCAGTGGGTGAGACAGCAGTTTGTTTTCCCACCACTGCCACCACTCATACCGCTAGCTTTTACTGCTAATTGCTGTGTTTTCTGTTTCCATCTACTGTGGAACCTGAATGGATACCAGATGTGAATTTTAGATGTGTCTGCAGTTGGCAATAACTATAAATCCACCACTGGATTTTAAGGCATCTGCTGTTGGTGGGAGGATCAATATCTGATGATTATACTTTGAGCCATCCAGCCCTTCCTGTAACCATATACACAACCTCTGAGTCATCAGCCGCCTTTTATAACAAATTTCTCAAGAAGCCCCTTGTTGCAGAAGGGTGATCTGATGCCTTATTCATGGTGACTGCTGCCTTGTTCCATAAGCAATGCCATCAGAGTCATAAGATCATCTCACAGAGCTCACTACCGCCGACTACAAGCAAATAAGTAAATGCATAGAAAATACAAAAGCATGTGGATTGTGTCGCAGAGAATCCTCTTCTTCGGGTTGGGGTTAGTCTCATCCAGCGTTAGCTATCTGAAGGCTATGTGTGTAGTCTAAGCTAACTGTCTAGAGAGATACCAGCAAGCCTCCTGCTGCTTTTGGATACCTGCCTGAAAATACTGTCTGGAGGACAAGACCTAGACAAGACTTAGACAAGACTTATAATTGACCTTTGGAGATGCTCCTTCCCTCTGTTGACCACAGTGAGACTTTACTGACTGGTTTAAAGTAGACATCTAACTTAGGGTATCTAAAGTTAAGTGAAGCTCAGGCCATCTGCCACCGAAATCCTTGCAAACCAATAACCATGCTGCACTGATGATTTCAGTGACAGATGAACAAAAGAATCAATTATTAGTCACCTACAAGCTTCACCAAGATTTTCTCGGGAATTAGATGTCAGACTCCTATCAAATGTCAGTGAGGAAGCAAGCCCTTAAAAATTCATCTGTATAAGTCATGCCCTGCAGGCTATGATGGTCTCAGCACATCCTTTAAACTGCCAGGACTTCAAGGAGAGCCCTAGATCTGTCAGGAAGGACAACTGAACCAGTTTTTCAGCTTGTTGGCAGAAACATATACAAGGTGTTTTATCCAAAATGTAAGGTACTGAGTAGGTTGAAAGAAACTCTGAGGGACTGCTTTGAGCTTCAGCTGCATATATTTACATATCATGATGTATGAGTATTTTGTGAGCATACCCTGTCAAGCATTCACAAGCAACCGAATCCATTGTGCTTAGCAGAGGCAACCTTTCCACTTTATGTTCTTGTTTTAAGCGCTGTTGTAGGCTAACATTTTTGTAAATGTATGAACACTGCTGAGTGTTGTCAGCTGGAGGCCAGATGCCAATTTCAGGGTAACCCTTCAGTCTCGCTGAGTGACACTGGGGTGGGTAGAGCCCCATCCCTCTAGGTTTGGAGCTGCATGGTAGGATGAGGAAGGGTGAAGTAGCTCCATCCTCTTTGTACAGGTTGGAGGGAGGTGATTCTGCTGGCTGGGTGGGCTGAGAGAGTGGGAGGCATGTGTCCCCTCAGCCTGGTCTGCCGTGGGAGAGTAGGAAGTCTCAGGAGGGCTGTTGCTGCTGTGGGGAAGGTGGGAAGCTGTTTCCTGCCCACTCCTCCCTGCCCCAACACGTTTGCTGGTTGTCCTTGCCACAGCTGTAACTCTCTGCAGACCACTGCGTTCTGGAACTCAATCCTTAAATGATAACTGGCTGGGAGTGGAGGTGAGAAAAGCCAGGGACCCTCATGCACTCTCATCTCTCACTCTTCTGCTCTGACTTCTCAGTCCTCCTGGCCCTGCTGCATGGCCTTTTCTACCCCTCAGGCAGCCTAAGGAGATGGGAGGGCTGTTCTGCTCTGCCCTGCCCTGGCCTGGGAGACTGCACAGAGCAGGATGCCTCACTTGCAAAGCTGGCACTACCATCTGCACCTGTTTCTTTTATGGTGACAAAAAGTGGCATCATCAAACTAAAAGACAGAAATCTACTTTGGACTATGACAGCTAGCTAATTACCTTTACCTTGATATGTGCCTAAGCATACATTGTCTAGGCTGCTGAATGCAGGTACAATGGCATTAAGAAGCTGATTAATGACGTGTAATCAGTTTATGTTTTAAAATGATTAATTACAGTTACTGGTTGCCTTTAATTAATACGGAAGTAGACCTTGCACATTTTATTCACATGCATACAACCATCAAAGCCAGTGTAATTGCATTGCAGCATGCAATTTGGGTATTTTTATCTTTTAGCTAGTTTTTTATTTTACTTTTTCACGGGCATCAGAAAATGATAACTCTGCTGACTCTAAAGGACATGTTCCTGTAGCATTCTTCTGGGAATTAAAAAAATTCTGAAAGCAGG